CTGCCAACTGCTCTTCCAAATGATTTGCATAAGTTTACAAGAGGAGGCTGAAATGTAAAATTGTCTAAGCTTAGAAAATTCTAATTCAAGGCAAATGGATGAATGTCCCTCAAATGCAGGGTCCAAAACACACATCAGGCTCCCTTCAGAGTCCGCACCAGGAAAGTGGGATCCTCCCTCTATGGACCCTTCTCATGACACACAGTAGGAGTTCCTAAACTGGGATCCATGGTCCTATAAGAGATTAAGGTCCCACAAATAATCAGAAAGCAATAAAAGGAGAAAATTTCACAATACAATCCATGAAAACTGTATGACTACTTAACAAACACAAGTGGAAGACTGTAGCGCAGACTATGAAGGAGGCAGAATCCAGGGGCTGGGTGATGGGAGGTACGTTAGTCTCCTGGGGCTGCCATGACGAAGTCCTACAAACTAGGAGCTTAAAGTAAGAGAAACGTGTTGTCTCAATATCTGGATCTGGAATTCTAGAGGCTAGAATTTAGAGTTCTGGAGGCTTCAAGGTGTTGTCAGGACCAGGCTCTCTCTGAGAGCTTGGGGAGAATCCTTTTTCCCTTCTAACTTTTGGTGTTTGTGGTAATCTTTGGCATTCCTTGACTTGTAGATGTGTCTGTCACTCTAGGCCCTGCCTCTGTGATCATATAGCTAGCTGTCTTCTTTCATGTGTTTCTTCTCTTCTGAAACAATACCAGTCATTTTGAAGCAATGGTCTACTCTACTCCAATATGACCTCAATGTCTCTAATTATTTTTGCAATAATCCTATATTCAAATAAAGTCACATGTCTGAGTTACTGGGGGATAGTTTTCATAAATCTTTTTGGAGGAGCACAATTCAACCCATAGCAGGGTGTGATATAATTTTAAGCAGGGCGATCAGGAAGGCCTTTCCGTGAACAGTGCATTTAGGAGTAGATTTGAGATAGAGAATGTAGTAGGATGATCATGGAAAAGACAATGCATGGAGATCAAGGAGATGATAGGGCATGAGAAGAAATTTTCTGCATGACATATTATAGGAGAAGTGAGGACTGCAGAAGAGTCAGCTCTTCATTAGGGCATAAAAGTGGCAGAGACTTCCCAAAGCAGGTTAGGATTTAGAGGAACTTGATAAATAAGGCTCAGTGTTCCACAGAGTATAGTGGGAGTTTTGGGAAGGAGGAAAGGCAGGGCTGGATCCAGATATTTGCAGAGCAGTTAGAGCTTACAAAATTGCACTTTGTGGATATAAGCATCTGTCTATGTTTATTAATATTTTATTAGAACAAGAGAACTAGGTCAACCTTAGATAAAATGGGGATTACAAAACTCTCAGATTACAGAAAACAGATGTCAGTTTTAACATCTATGTAGTCCTGGTAAACTGAAAAGATTAAAAACAAATAGAAAGCATGATGCCCTGTCCTTATTATGGTGTACATGGCATCAAGGGAGAAGAGGAAGAAGAAAGGCATGTAGTACATGCCTTAGACTTAAAAGCTTGTAGTACAGTTGGATAGACCTGAAGAGATGATTAAAAATGCAGAATCAGGATCAACACCAATGGAATGACACATATCTTTATTCTCTGCAAAGAGGCTTGCCTCTGAGATTCTTATTCACATCAAATGGATGCCATTCTTCCCAAATCACCTTTGGCTACTGAAGTGGCCCCGGCATACTATCACACCAACTGCTCACACGGGTCTGAAGCCTCCGGCCCCAGTGGCTGGGATGTGGCTGCTGAAGGCTCTCAGCAAACTTGCAACCTGGGAATTGTCATCAGAGCAGGACACATGCACTGGCTGACCGAGGCCTGGCTCTCCAGGTGGGACATCTCTGAAGGGCTCACTAAACTTCAGAGCTCTGCTATTTTGGGGCCAGTAAACTCATGGACAAAAACCAAAGAAAAATTGAATTTTCTTCTTACCATTTGTGGGAAGCCATTATATTCTTGTGCCTGGGCTTTCTTTTTTCCAAGTAGACATAAAAAGTTTCTCCCATTTCAGGGTCATCTTAGTTTGGAAGTTCTGGCCCACACAGGGATTAGACTACAGTGACTCCACAGGGGAGAAGATAGAGGCGGGAAGAAGAGGGTCATAGCCATTCCTGGAGATGGACATTCTGACTGCTGAAAAGATTGCTGGGAAATGGGGTGTCCTTTGGGCACTGGAGTCTGGCACCTCACCCTTGTTTGGTAAAATCTTAGAAGGGGTGGCTGAATAGGCAAGTACTACGGTACGGGACCAAAAGCATCTGGGGTTGGGGTTCACCACTCCCTCGAGCACATTTTATCACAATGGTATAGCCTTGCACTAATTTCTACAGAGATATGTTAACATGACATTTGTTAAAAATATATTTAAAAAAACAAACGAGTGCAGAGGGTTTTAACCTGCACTGTGCATCATTAACATCGCAGAGATTGTTTGCTGATACGCAGATTGATAGGTCCCTCCTTGAGTTTCTAATTCAGTAAGTCCAAGGTGGAGCTGAAATCTGCATTTCTAACAATTTTCTAAGTGACAGGATGGAAGGGAGACAGTGAAACATAAGGAACAGAGCCCAAAGTTGTATCTTTTACTACACGTCTGCTTGCTCAGCAGCCAGCTAGGGAATCTCTGCCTTATCTCTCAGTTTCTGCCCTTAAGGTTGGAAGTTGGCTCTGCCTCTCCCTTGATGGTGTCTGCTACTCTCTGGACCTGTGTACCGAGGTCCCAAATGGAGCTTCCAGCTCTCACATGGACCATGCTGGCCTGTGGGAGGAGCGGGGTTGAAGTGTCGGGTTGTGCAGTATTGTAATATGCAAAGGTGGCCAGCAGAGGGCAAGAGTAGGGCTGGGGTTCAGCAGGTGTCCACTCACTCAGTTGGGAACCTGGAGTGGGCTGCATCTTACCCAAGAAAGTTCTTTGCACAAAGGGTCCTCTGACCCTTAGGTTGTGCACTGTCTTGAGGGGGAGAAGAGAGTGACTGTATCCGTCCAGGAAGGTCCCCCCAACGCCCCCTGCCACAAATTTGCACAGAGACCGAGTATAAGCTTGCAGAACTCTAGGTCATGAGAACAAAATTAAATGCAGCTGAAGAGGCTACTAAATGACTTTCCGAAAAGAGCTTGGGGCACATGTGTGAGTCAATGGGAAGGACACAACTTCCTTAAAATGAGGGATGCTGGATTGGCAGAGATTCAATCTGCTTTAGAAACTAAAGGAATGCTATGTTTTTCTTCCTGGAACACATTACCACTAGTTATCTGTGCACCAAGTAAGTAGTTGAGTTTAGGGCGTGCCTGCTCCAAGCAGCATCAGTATGACCAGGAAACTTGTTAGAATTATACATTTTGTGACCTAGCCCCAGCCCTGATGAATCAGAAAATGCGGGCTGTGGCCCAGCTGGCTTTGTATAACAAGCCCCCGGGTGATTCTGATGCACCATGGAGTTTGAAAGACACTGGCCTAGAGCTTCTCACCTCCAACAGGTCTAGATGCCTCCAGGGGATCTTATTAAATCTGATTCTGAGATTCGGGTTCTGGGAGCAATCTGTTCCCTCTGGCCCATGAAAAGTCAGGGCTTGTGGGGAAGTGACAGAGACCATTTTAAGTGTGTTGCTTCTATTTAAATGGGGCCTCTGGGGCCCATGCTTCCCTTTCTAGAACAAATAGTAATTACATGTGGCAAAATGCAGGATTCTTCCACAATGCATAATTTGTAGAATTTAACTGGCACCCTTCCAGCTGCAGATTCTTGCTCCCTAGTAGCTAGAATCTGGGCTAAAACTGACTTTTTGCCTTCAATATTTTTTAGTTCTATAAATCCTTTTACCTTTCTCTGTTTAGTCCTCCACCTCCATCTTATTATTTAACTTAAGCCAATAGCTTACATTTTGAATTGTCACAGAAAACAACAATCTGATTTATTAGGGTGGGTGGTCCTTTCAGTTTCCACCAACGGTGGCAGGTAGTCCCCAGAACCTCCCACAATGTATCAGATTCTCTCCTAAAACAGCTTTCCCCATGGCTATCCATTCCCTGGAAATGGGGAGGAGATCCGGGATGCAGTGATTACCCTGCTTTCTAGCACTAGTGAAATAGAGGTAGATTTGCTAATGGTAGCCATAAGTAACTGACAAATATGGTGTATTCTTTTCATATTCCAAGAGCCATATCTTCAAGGTCAGAATTAGGATGAGATAATGAGCAAAATAAAATTTCTTGATCATAGTTATAATTATTGAGTAAGATTTTAAAGACATACATTTCCTGTGACTAACAGGGTAGAAATTTACTTTGGAAATAAATATCAAAGGGTAATGCTGTTTGAAGTTATACAGGAATTCAAAAGCAGTTTTAAAACAGGTAAATGAGCATCTATCAGTTAAATCAAACTTAAAATCAGGAAAAGATTAACATTGCTCAACTCTTAGAAAATTTGGTAGTATTAAATAAGTAAGTTAAAATAGGGAGAAAAAAATTATCCTCAGACCTGTAGTTTATGGATCAATGTTACAGGCAAGCATTTTAAAAATGTTATACATCTTATTTCTTGCGGATGCACCGGTTTTTGACAAATACTTCTTTGACAAAATTGTTTATCAATGTCAGAGAATAAACCTGGTTATTGCCTTGAGACAGTAATGTGAAACTAGTCAGTGAAAGGTAATTCTAGCCTTAGATTGGCAATGACGGTTTTATTGTAGGAGCCCATCAAATTGAAATGTATTAATCTGCACTTTGTGGTTGGTTATGGGCACGGCACCATTTCGTCTGCCTTCTAAATTGGTAGGTTTTTGATTTAGTGTCTGGACACTGAAAGAAAGGCTTATGTGGTTAGTAGTAATTATAGTTGTTAATGTGAACGATCTAAAACGAAAGAATCTGGTACACTTTCAATGAAAATTACAATTCATTGAAATCTCAGAAAATTCCAGTCCTGGCCATCTATTCCAGAAGCATGCAGTAGGTGGCACCTCAAAGCTCTTTCTTGGCGAGCAGGCGCCATTTAAACGCGAGCAGCCGCCGCTGCAGCAGGCATTTGGCAAGCGCGGAAGTCAGAAATAGAAGAGGGAGGAGAAGGAAGGTCGGAGGACTGCGGGACCGCTTGACAGTGCCAGGCCGCGCTGGTAGTGCGCGCAGGTGCGCTGGGGACTCAGGTGCGCAGGGTTGGGGGCCGTGGGGCGCAAGGGGGCGCAGGTGCGCGGTGGCGCAGGGAGCACTGGTGCTCCGGAGGGCGCGGGGCGCATGGGCGCAGGTGTGAGGATGGGCGCGGGGCGTTCGGGGTACCAGCTGGCTAGCAGGCGCGAGCAGGCGACCAGCTGACAGCATCACCACGGCGGCGGGAGGGAGTGCTCGCCCCGCCTGTCTCTGGGAGGAGCCCGCATCCTCACCCTGCTTGGTGGAGGGTCCTCCGCAAGGCGAGCTGGAAAGAAGCTCGGAGCAGTTGTGTTCTTCCTCAGGTAACCGATTTCCCTTCCTTCGCAGCTTCGCTGCGTCGTCATTGGGGCACAGATCGCTCTGGCGTTCTTGTTTGCAAGTCTGTGAAAAGGGATTACCCTCTTTGGGAAGGCGAGTCAGCAATAAGAATACTGGAATTGGTGAGGGGGAACATGTTGCATTTCTGTATCTTTGGCAGGGAGGGTGAGCGTTTTGCTATCTTTGTCTAAAATAAGTTCTTGAACTCTCTCACACACACACACACACACAATTTGGTATTTCTTTCAAAATAGAAGTTAGTGTTTTAGAAAATTCTGTGGTTCAGGGATTTCTATTAATGAAGATGATTTAATGGATTTTTGAAAGTTCTAAAAAGATGTGGTCCAAAGTGAGAAAAATGCAAAGCACGTTAGAGGCTGCCGTTTTGTTCAGCATGTTTTCTCACTAGACCACAACCATTCATTGGACTTGGCTAAGACTTGGCTGAATATTTTGATTTTCTTTTGAAGAATGTATTTGATGATATGTACATGTATTCTTTCTTGCCCTCTTGTTGTAAGAGCAGAATACAGGAAAAGTGCTGCATCCCATCTTTAGCTGTCAGTTAGATTGTGGTTCCCGTAAGATGACAAATGCTCACAGCTCCAAGGCTGGCTTGCAAAGCATTGCTGGCTTCTCACTGTGTGGGAACCGGCCTGAGACCTCTGTGGAGAAATGCTGTTTTTCCCCTTTACAACCCCAATTCACGTTCTGTGGGTTTGGGAGACTTTTAAATGGGAATCTCTGTGATTCATGGGTTCCTTCCTTTAAATGGTGAAATAAAGCATCGTGGTGGGATTCCGTTTCTTCTCACTGTGCAGTCACAGAGCTTGACTTCCTTAGGAATTTATGCTTTATCTTTGTCCCCGTTATCTTTTCAGCAACCGTCTTCCATGTGAGAAGCTGCCATTAGCACATAGAATCCTTTCTGCTTTGAACTAAAAACTTTAAAAATATTCTTTTCAGGAAGATTTTCTAGATAACAATAAAGTACTGGAGCATTTTACATTCCAGATCGGTCCAAATGCGCTTCTTTTCCTGTGGTATTTGCATTCAAAGGGCTGGAGTGGGAGGAAGAGAAAAGGGGAGAGTAAAATTAGAGTACATTCAACAAATTTGTGGGGGAATAATACAATTCTTTTGGTAGTCTGAAATTGCAAATTGCCAACAATTCTATCTCTGGAAATGCAGGAGGTCCTATGGGCTAAGGCAAAGGAAGATTCACAGTTCATTTCATAGAAATAGAAGATAGAAGGCAAGGAAACATTTTCATCCCATCTAATGCATACCATTTAATTTGGAGGTAGTAGAGACAGTGGTCCTGGGTGAACAGGGAAAGGACGGGGAGAAAGGAATGACTGCTGTCTATACGGGGCAGAGCATGGGTGCTCACGCCTTGGTTACCTCTCCAGGTGGAAATTGTATGTGCATGGTTATTGCAGAAGCCTCCAAGCCTCTAGAATCTTTTCTTCTTAGAGCTTTGATAGAATTATTCCTAAGAAAAAATGCAGAAAACACCTAAATCAAGTGCTAGTTGGTGGCATTCCTTTCTAGCTTGTGTCCAGCAGTCTACCTTTCTCAGCAATCAGTGATGCCTTCATCACAACAGGAGCAGAGACTTATTAATTTCCTGCTGTGCATACCCTGTAAATTGCACATGACTTCAGCCTACTAGAAATGGCTTCTTCAGGGTGGATACCAGCTCTATTATGATACCTGCATATTGCTAAAAAATTAAATTGAAAAATAATGGGGATTCTTTTTTTAAAAAGAGTGCATCTATGAAAAAACATACTGTTCATTTTTCTAATACACTAATATAGTCTCAAAAATATGGTGAGATATTTATGTTTAAGGCTGTTCATTGAGCAAAAAAAGAAAAAAGCAGTGAGAAACTGGTTGATAAGTGATCATCTCGCAGGGAGTCTTGTGCAGCTGTTACAAATCACAGGATGTCTCTGTATGTAGTAATGTGGGCAGATTTGCATGAAACACTGGGAGACTACACTCTCATGTATCTTTCTCTCTCACTCATTAGCTATCTATTGCGATCTGGCCCTCGTTGACTAGGTACTAACAATGGATTCCACTCACCTGTTAAATGTTTCATGCTAAATGTTTCATTTCCCACCTTTCTTCCCCATCTGATTTGTGCTCTTGACTATTTCTGATAAATGAAACAGAAATCACCTTTGTTGCTGCTGAGTTAATGTGAAAAAATGAGCACAATCAAGTTAATGCATTGGAAAAGTATAGGGAATATTATTGATTTTTGCATTGGTAATTGTTTTGTATTATTTTCATTCTTACATGGACATTCTGAGACTTTTCTCTCAAAAGATTATCCATCTCTACCCTTTAATCAATTGCAGATTCCACCGAAGTCTTTCCACTTCCATTATGGAAACACAAGCCATGTTTGGGGCCTGGGATCTTACCCTACAACCCTGAGACAGCCAATGCCTCCTAGACTTTAACTATAGGATTTTTACTCATCAGGGAGTTGTACTAATTAGAATTTTGTACTCATTAGGAAATGTCTTTACTTAAACTGAGCATTGAAAGGCATGTAAATCCTAAACATTTTCACACCCTCTCATTGCCTTCTAAGACTTGCAAAGACCAGCAAATCAGAGTCCCTACTCTGACTCTGGTTCCCGTGGCCGGGCCCTCTATTGCCCAGCCTTATCAGGTCCCTTTTGCCCCTGGCTTTAGGGTTAAGTTAAAATGCTGGTTTAACTATCCCATGGCGTAAGTATAACCCCTGGTTTCCCACTACCGTATGTTATATTAACCACTTGTTGTGGTTATTCAGAGTTCAGTTTCTGATGTGGACCTTTTTATAGGCACCTATCACTTTTTTTATGGGTCAGGAAATATACAGTCATCCATTATTAGCTGGCTAATATCATTGTTATATTTTAAAATAAATATGAAAGTACTCTGAAGGTTGCTTGGCGATATTACATATTGGTGAAAAAAAAATCCTCAAATTTTGGAACCTTGAGCTTCTTGTTGAATTGTTACTAATTTGGATTGGCTTGAATTCCTTATTGGATTTGCTAACCCTGAGTTGAGATGCAGTTTCTGCCTCTTATTAGCGGAGCCACATGTTACTTAACCACCTAGCATCTCAGTTCCCTTATCTGTAAAATGGGGCTACTCATAACTAAATCAAAGGTGTTTTGAAGGTCAGGTTTTGAAGGTCAACACTTGCTAGATGGTCAGGATTCCTGGGCTGTTTTTGCAGTTGCTCTCTGATCAGTGTCTACAGTTCCTTTCTCTCACTGTCTCAGGTTTATCCTTCTCTTTTATAACCTGGCACATAGCCCACTGACTCATAGTTGCATTTTGCTTCTGGTTGGAATACTTCAGCACCAGCATTTCCTAACTTACCTAGTGCACAGCTTGCCAATTCATCTTAAAATATTGATTGTTTCTCTCATAATTCTCTGAGCCAGGCTTATAGGACTCCCTATTTTGTATCTTTTAAATTTCTCTTTCTTCTTTCATCAACATTCTTTCCTCTGTTCCTTCACTGAGCTCATCTCCCCACAGGCAGTCCTCACTCTATAAGTGAATTCACACTGCTTTGAGGATGTAAGCATATCCCCTGCTTGATGTTTATGTTGCTCTAGTCTTGAGCTATTCCTGTTGTAACGATGCCATGGATCCCGGACTTGACTGGAAGCCTGCTGAGGGCAGGTGCTACTGGGACTACCTGATATTATATGTAATTGGATTCTAGCCCCATCAGTAGCTACAGCCCTTTATAGCTTGTTTTGCTGATCTGCCTAGTGACTGTAGAGCAGACACAAATAAATATTCATTGATTAATGGTTCACAGCTTCTGACTGTATGCCCTTGCCTTTTCTTACTCCATCAGCTTCTGACCTCCTGAATATTCCTTTTTTCTCTCTTCAAGGGCATTGGCCCTAGTTTGATCTTCCTTCTTATGTTAATTTCAAACATAATTCTTTTGAATATTTTCCTCCACTCCTCTTAAGCTCTGCACACACAGTCACAGGGCATCTTTTTAGCGCTGGAAACTGTCCTTCTTCCAGAGGGTCCATGGAACATGCCCTCTATGACCACAGCACCCTGTCTTTGCAACATTCTTGCTCAACATCTCTTTGGACCTCTTTCAGAACTTGCATTTTTGTCTTGCTAATATATTCAGTTGTTATCTTCCCATTAATGTTTATACATGTTCATGTCTCTGTTTTTTAACATTAATTAAAAAGAACCCTTTAAAAATTCAAAACTGAGTACCACTCAGCTACCAATTCATAACCTTTCCTCCAATTCACAACCAAAGTCTCAGAAACTATGTCTACACTGCCTGTATCAAATTCTGCATCTCATGCTCACTCCTTAACATATTGCAATATAACTTCTACCTGTGCTGCCATAAAAATGTCTCTTGCTAGGTTCTCATTAGTGACTTTCACTGCCTCCTTACTGAGGGTGCTTTCCAGTTCTCTCTGTACTTCACTTCTTGGAGCCAGTTCATGCTGGTGAGTCCTCTCTTATTTTAGAAGTCCTCACTCTCCTTGGTTCGATAACATAGCTCTTTAGTACAGGTACTTCTGCCATTTTAATTCTTTGTAGTCAACTCCCTTTCCAAACATTACAGAGGGAGTCTCCAGAGGCCATGTCTAAGTCCTCTACTCTTTTCATT